AAACGGGTCAACCCGTCAACCCGCGGGTTGACCCTAACCCGACCCGTGACTCGTACGGGTTGATAATACGGGTTATCTACGGGTTGCGGGTTGAGATGTGTAGACCCTAACCCGTTTTTTAAAGGTCGGGTTAAGATCGGGTTGACGGGTCGGGTGGATTTTTGCCAGGTCTAAGTAGAATTGATAGATGCTTATTGTCTGAAGGCTGGTTCTCAAAATGGTGCGACACTAAACAGTGGGGATTAACCAGAATAGTGTCAGATCATTGTCCAATACTGCTGAAAGTCCATAAAACGGACTAGGGACCTAAACCATTCAAATTTTTTGATGCCTGGCTCGATGACCAAGGGTGTAGATAGTTGATTTCGGAGGTTTGGAACAATGAAAAAATCCAAGGGTGGGCAGGATTCCAACTAAAAGAAAAGTTGAAGGCAACTAAAAATGCCCTACGGGAATGGAGTAGAAATTTGTTGAACAAGTGGATGCTAAAATAAATTCTTCCAAAGTGGTGATTGATCAAATTGATTTGAAGGGTGAACAAGTCCAGCTCACGGAAGAGGAAATTAACAGAAGAAAGGAGGCACTCTTAGATCTATGGAAAAATATGAATACCAAGGAGAGAATGGCACAACAGAAGTCAAGGAAAACCTGGTTGGCTAACGGGGATGCAAACACCAAGTTCTTCCACAATTGTGTCAAAGGCAAATGGAAAATCACAGAAATAAACAGCATACAAATCAAAGATTCTCAACTGGTTGAGCCTACCACAATGAAGGAGGAAATTGCAAATTTCTTTGAAAACATGTTCAAAGAGGAGAATTGCGAAAGACCCAAATTGGAGGGTATCAGTTTTCAGCAGATAACTGAGCAAGAAAATGCATCACTTGTAGCTCCATTTTCAGAAGCAGAGATCAAAGCAGCAGTATGGGATTGTGAATGCTCAAAAGCACCAGGCCCAGACGGGTTTAATTTCAGATTGTTAGAAAGGAGTGGGAGACAATCAAAGGAGACGTGATAGGATTCATAAAGGAGTTTCAAGAAAAAGGAGAGCTGGTCAGAGGACTGAATTCCTCATTTATTGTCTTGGTGCCAAAAGTGAATAATCCACAGAGGATAGAAGAATATAGGCCCATATCCCTTATCGGTGCTGTGTACAAGATCCTTGCCAAACTATTAGCCAATCGACTCAAAAAAGTACTCGATCAAGTGATTGGCAAGCAACAAATGGCATTCATAAGTGGAAGACAACTAATGGATGGGGTTGTGATTGCAAATGAGGTAGTAGACGAAGCAAAGAAGAAGAAAAGGAAGAGCTTCCTATTCAAGATTGATTTCGAGAAGGCTTATGACAAAGTGTGTTGGAAGTTCCTTGAGTGTATGATGCAGAAGCTGGGGTTTTGCGACACTTGGAGAAGGTGGATCATGGAGTGCTTGAGAACTAGCCAAGTTTCAGTGTTGGTGAATGGCAGCCCGACTAGACAGTTCAACATCAGCCAGGGCCTTAGACAGGGAGATCCTCTATCTCCTTTTCTGTTCCTGATTGTTGCAGAGGGGTTAAATGGGATGATTACCACAGTAGTGCAGAAGGGACTCATGGAGGGTGTGGAGGTAGGATCCAAAGGATTCAAGGTATCACACTTACAATTTGCAGACGATACAATTCTTTTTGGCTCTGCAACAGAGCAAAACGTCTGGGCAATGAAAGGCATTATGAGATCATTTGAGCTTGTTTCGGGATTGAAGGTCAATTTCAACAAAAGCCAACTCCTGGGTATTGCGGTGAACGAGGAGTGGCTTGACAAAATGGCATGGGTGTTGTGCTGCAGAAAGGGTAATTTCCCATTTAAATACCTTGGAGTCCCTATTGGTGGAAGTTATAGAAAGCTGCATTTTTGGAAGCCATTGGTGGATGTTTTCTCGAAAAAACTGTCCGCATGGAAAGGCAGATTTTTATCTCTTGGTGGAAGGATAACTCTTATTAACTCAGTGCTATCTAGCTTGCCCGTATTCTGGATGTCGATGTACTGGATCCCATCAAGTACGATCCTTGCCTTAGATAAAATTAGAAGATGTTTCCTGTGGGGAGGGGTTGAGGAGGGGAAAAAGATTAGTTGGG